CTTCACTGTTTGTTCTATGGCCAGAGAAGAAAAGGAGGTCAAAGTGTGGCATCAAAAACTTGGACATCTTCATCTAAGAGGGATGAAAAAAATCATATCCAAGGAAGCAGTGAGAGGAATTCCCAAGTTGACTATTGATGAAGGAAAGGTATGTAGTGAATGTCAGGTTGGCAAGCAAACCAAGGTGTCACATAAAAAAATTGGACATCTTACAACATCCAAAATTCTGGAACTGTTGCACATGGACTTGATGGGACCAATGCAGGTAGAAAGTCTTGGTGGGAAGAGGTATGCCTATGTGGCTATTGATGATTACTCCAGATACACCTGGATAAGTTTCATCAGAGAAAAATTAGATGTGTTTGAAGTCTTCAAAGATCTTTGTATTAGACTTCAAAGAGAAAAGGAAAGTGGTGTAGTCAGAATCAGAAGTGATCATGGAAAGGAGTTTGAAAACTCTAAGTTTGCTAAATTCTGCTAGTCTGAAGGAATCAGTCATGAATTCTCCTCCCCTATTACTCATCAATAAAACGGAGTAGTGGAAAGGAAAAACATGACTATACAAGAATCTTCTAGAGCCATGATTCATGCAAAGAAATTGCCTATGCACTTTTGGGTTGAGGCAATGAACACAGCCTGCTATGTTCACAACAGAGTTACCTTGAGAAAAGGAACTTCCTCCACTCTGTATGAACTATGGAAAGGAAGGAAACCAATTGTTAAGTATTTCCATGTTTTTAGGAGCAAGTGTTACATCCAGACAGATCGTGAACAAAGGAGAAAAATGGATCCCAAAAGTGATGAAAGCATATTCCTGGGATACTCTACCAACAACAGAGCATATAGGGTATTCAATTCCAGAACAAAAGTCTTGATGGAATCCATCAATGTGATTATTGATGATCAACATGAAGAAACCAATGTCATGGAGGATGTTGGAACATTCCTTGAGACACCTGCTAATGTTATGGTCAATACTGAAGATCCTCAAGCTGTAACTCCAGACTCTGAGTCAGAAGCTCCCAGCAAAAAACCTTCTATCAGAATCCTTAAAGATCATCCCAAAGATCTTATCATTGGAGATCCTAACAGTGGTGTAAGGACCAGAACTAGAGAAATCATCTCAAATTCATGCTTTGTATCCAAGATTGAACCCAAAAATGTGAAGGAGGTTCTAACTGATGAATATTGGATCAATGTTATGCAAGATGAATTAGAATATTTCAAAAGGAATGAAGTGTGAGAATTGATTCCAAGACCTGAAGGAACAAACATCATTAGCACCAAGTGGATCTACAAGAACAAGTCTGATGATAACGGAGTTATAACCAGAAACAAGGCTAGATTGGTGGCACAAGGTTATACTTAAGTTGAAGGGATTGATTTTGATGAAACTTTTGCACCTGTTGCAAGACTTGAGTCAATAAGACTACTGTTAGGAATTGCTTGCATTCTAAAGTTCAAATTATTTCAGATGGATGTGAAAAGTGCTTTTCTAAATGGATATTTGAATGAGGAAGTATATGTGGAACAACCCAAGGGATTTGCTGAACCTAACCTGCCAAACCATGTATACAAATTGAGGAAAGCTCTTTATGGATTAAAACAAGCTCCTAGAGTCTGGTATGAGAGACTGACTGAGTTTCTCACTGTTAATGGGTATAGGAAAGGAGGGATAGACAAGACCCTCTTTGTGAAGGATGAAGGCGGAAAACTCATGATTGCTCAAATTTATGTGGATGACATAGTGTTTGGTGGAATGTCTGAAAGAATGGTTAAACAGTTTGTCAATCAATTGCAATCTGAGTTTGAAATGAGCTTGTGTGGAGAACTAACATACTTTCTTGGGATGCAAGTCAAGCAAATGGAAGACTCTATTTTTCTATCCCAAAGTAAATATGTCAAACACATAGTCAAAAAGTTTGGCATGGATAGTGCGAGTCACAAAAGGACACCTGCACCCACACATCTGAAGTTAACTAAAGATGACAGTGGTACGAGTGTTGACCAAGGCTTGTATAGAAGTATGATTGGAAGCTTGTTATATCTAACAGCCAGTAGACCTGATATTGCATTTGTAGTTGGTGTATGTGCTAGATATCAAGAAGATCCCAAGGTAAGTCACATAAACCAAGTCAAGAGGATTCTTAAATATGTGAATGGAACTTGTGATTATGGTATGCTGTATTCTCATGGATGTGCCCCCTATTCTGTATGGGTATTGTGATGCTGATTGGGCTGGGAGTGCTGATGATAGAAAAAGCACATATGGTGGATGTTTCTTCTTGGGGAACAACCTCATATCATGGTTCAGCAAGAAACAAAATTGTGTCTCCCTATCCACTGCTGAAGCTGAATACATAGTAGCTGGTAGCAGCTGTTCCCAACTGGTATGGATGAAGCAAATGTTGACTAAGTACAATGTCACTCAGGATGTCATGACATTGTACTATGACAATCTTAGTGCTATCAATATTTCTAAGAATCCAATTCAGCATAGCAGAACCAAGCATATTGATATCAGACATCACTATATAAGAGACCTTGTGGAAGACAAAGTGATTACCTCTCTTTTCCCATCTGAGCATTCTCCTGCCTATCAGAAGTCGAGGTTTCTGACTTCTGAACACCATCAGATCTTCTCCTGACTTCTGACCAAGACTGCTTATGATGCCTCTTACTAGAAGCTGCTTTCAGAGTTTGCTGCTCTACTTCTCTTTCAGAAGTTTTCTCAGTCAGACGCAACTCTTGTGCTTCTATATTGCTTTACAAATCTTCAATTTTCATGGTGTTTAGATTCTTAGAATGTTCTACTGCTACCATAATGTAATCAAATTGAGGAGTAAGGGATCTCAATACCTTCTAAATAATTACTTGTTTAGAAAGGGTTTCTCCACAAGCTTTCATCTCATTAGTGATCAGAATCACTTTGAAGATGTACTCAGATACCTTCTCGTTGTCCTTTATGTTGAGATTCCCATACTGCTTTCGTAGAAAGTGAAGCTTCACCTTCTTCACTGATGCATCACCACTGTAACACCTAACCAGTGTGTCCCACACAACCTTCATCGTCGTCGAATCAACGATTTTCTCGAACACATTCACATCCACACATTGATGGATGTAGAACAACGCCTTATGATATATCTTCCTAAGATCACGCTAAGCATTTCTCGATGCATCAGTTGCATTTTCTGGAAGTGCAACTAAAACGTAACCATCGTTGACGAGATCAATAATATCTTGAGCGCCAAACAACACACGCATCTGAATCATCCAATGATTTCAGTTCTTGCCATCGTACACTGGAAGCTTGGTGCTCAGACTACCATTTCTGTTCATCTTCAACCTTGTGCAAGTCACTCAGATCTCACTAGACACAATGTTTCCCAATCTCGCAGAATCAGAAAATGTGATTCTTTTACGATTCCGTTGAAGATTCAACACAAATTCAAAAAACGAAATCAATCACACAACGTCTCACTGTTTCACTCGTGTTTCTCGTGGATCCGAACCGAAGCTCTAGATATCAATTGTTAGTGCACAAGGTGACGAAAACAAAAGGAATGAGAGAGTATTTATTGCTCTACAATGACGGCTACAAAAACTGTAAGAAAGATGATGATATAAATGACAGCTACCACTAATCTATTAATACACAAATACTAAGACCACATAAGCAACATATTAAAATACTAAATTACCTTTCAATAAAATTTATACCACCTAAATTTCAAATGCCAAGGAACCATGTGAGGAGAGCAATTAGTCTAAAATTAGTCTTAATTCACAAATTCAACCAATTCCTATTATGAGTAAGTTCAATTGCATAAATCACCCTAATAAGCTCAAAGTGCATTTGAAACTATAAAATACTTACTTTTATTTTATTTTGTTTCTTAACCAATTTATTTTAAGAAAAAACAATATCTAAAAGTTATGAATTTAAATCTTAGTTTAGATAATATTCAATTCTACTTTATCTATCTAGTGATCAAATTCCATATTATCACACACGACTTCATCTTCACCGATATTAACTTTCACTTCACACACCTATTTTTTTGTTGACATTGAAATTTAAATTTCTTTTTCTTTTTTTTATCATAATAAAATAAAATATAAATGAAATTATATTTTTTATTAAAAAAATTATATAATTTACGGTTTATAATTACACACACACACACACACATATATATATATATATATATATATATATATATATATATATATATATATATATATATATATATATATATATATATATATATATTTATAGTGATACAAATTAAAATTATATTTAATAAATATTTATAAAAATTGAATGAAACAATCAAAGTGGTCCAAATTCATACATATATAGACATCCCTAATTTCAATCCCACAGCATGATGAATGGTGATTCTTCTGACTTTGAGTTATAACTCATAAGTCCCCTATTGGCTATCTTTTGTTTTACTATATCCCAAATTTCACAGTTGAGTTGAACAAAGATTCATTGCCCCCACAACTCTCTTGTTTGGTGGTTGCTTCTTACAACATCATTCACCATACACTAACTCAGATTCTCTCCACAATACACGTCTTTTTAACCAATAATATCCGCACACGTCATCATATAACTTTTCTATATTTATAATATTAAAATAATATGCATATACCTTTTTCTTAATCCCGAAATTGACTTCTAGAATGGTAAGTTTTTTAATTACAAACAAAATTAATTAGTGGAAAGTAAAAAAGTTGAAAGTAAAAGGAAAACAAAAGAACAAAGACATAACATAAGATTAAGAAAACTCCAAGGAACACAAAAACAACGTTTCTCTCCCCGAAAAATTTCCGTACCGTGCGTTTTTGTAATCTAATTATCCATTCACCCAGAGATCTAGGTTTATTCTGCAAATAATCACAATCTCTGTAAGTTTTTCTTATCATCATCATTCAAGATCTAGAGGTTATTTTCAATTTGATTTGATTTCGATTTGGATCTATCAAGAATGTCCAATCGGAATGATTCTAGTTATAGTTCAATACCTGTTAACTCATCATCGTATCTAGAACTACAGCCTCCAAATGATTCATCAATTTCTTTTCAAAGATTGTCTTTTGATGATGGTGGAGGGTTTTTGAGATCTAAGGTTGTTGATGAGGATGATGAGGATGATACTTTTGAAATTGATGTTGATAATTATCCTCTTGTTGTTGGGTCTACTCCCAATCATGGTTCTGGTGTTCCTGGTGCTGTCTTCAATTTAACTACTACTATTATTGGGGCTGGACTTATGGCTCTTCCTGCCACCATGAAAGTTCTTGGAGTTTTTTTAGGGCTTCTGTTGATTGTTTTAATGGGGATTTTGTCCGAAATTAGTGTCGAATTGTTGATTCGTTTTTCTGTTTTGTGTAAAGCCTCTTCTTATGGTGAGGTTGTTCAGCATGCTTTGGGAAGACCTGCTAGGATTTTGTCTGAAATTTGTATTATTTTGAATAATGCCGGTGTTTTGGTTGTTTATTTGATTATAATGGGGGATGTTATGTCGGGATCTGTTCATCATTTAGGGGTTTTTGATCAGTTAATGGGGAACGGGGTTTGGGATCAGAGGAAGCTTGTGATTCTTGTTGTTATGGTGATTTTTTTAGCGCCGTTGTGTTCGCTTGATAAGATTGATTCGTTGAGCTTGACTTCAGCCGCGTCGGTTGCTCTTGCTGTTATGTTTGTTGTTGTTGCATTCGTTGTTGCTTCCATTAAGCTTGTTGAAGGAAAGATTGATGCTCCTAGGATGGTTCCTGATTTAAGTTCGAAAAAGGCTATTTTGGATTTGCTTGTGGTGATTCCTATCATGACGAACGCGTATGTTTGTCATTTTAATGTGCAGCCGATTTACAACGAGCTTGAAGGTAGGTCGCCGCAGAAGATGAACCGAGTAGGAAGGTTTACCACGATTTTGTGCATCCTGGTTTATTCTGCAACGGCGTTATCTGGTTATCTGTTATTTGGGGAAGATACTGAGTCTGACGTCCTGACTAATTTTGATAAGGATCTTGGAATCCGGTTTAGTTCGGCCCTGAACTATATTGTTAGAGTCGGCTACATTCTCCATTTGATACTTGTCTTCCCTGTTATTCATTTCTCACTACGTCAAACGGTGGATACATTGATTTTCGAGGGGTCACCTCCTTTAACAGAAAGTAAGAAGCGATCGCTGGGGCTGACTTTGGTTCTGTTGATCCTCATATACATCGGGTGTACCATGATACCAAACATTTGGACAGCTTTTAAGTTCACTGGCGCAACTACGGCGGTTTCGCTAGGTTTCATATTTCCACCTCTTGTTGCAATAAGATTAAGCCATAAAGGAGATTTGAGTCATGTAGAAATGAGTTTGTCGTGGTTAATGTTGGTATTGGCTGTGATTGTTAGCATCGTAGGAGTCGTCAGTAATATATATAGCCTCGAGAGTAAGTCTTAGCAACACATTTAAAGTACAAGGAATACCAATGTGATTTGTTAATTGGTTCCACTGCTTGCAACTCGAGCCGAGCAGCAAAAGATAGGCAACGCCAGGAGGATCATTCTTTAACGCGGAACATTTTTTTCTACTTTGCCGCAGCCATGTTGATTACGGTATGAGATGCATATAATGCTTCAAATGCCTTGAATTTGTAAGATGAAGATCAGATGTTTTAGTGTAAAAGAAATTTTGTGGCTGATTTGTTTGCCACTGACATAGTTACCTATACGGTTCTGTCAATTCTTTATGCCAGTTGTATTACCTTTTTATCATAAATTTTACAGTAGAATGATGTTACCACACTTAGTAACAGATTCTTAAAATTGTTTAAATGAGATTAGTTTCATTTTCCAGCTGAAAATATGTTTGGTTTCTTTTCCTTTTGTTGCATATGCATATTCAATTATGTTGTCTTTTTGTGTTTTTTGGTTTAGGCTTTATGTTATATAGCTCTAAATCATCATCATTACCAAAGAGACAAGCATTCCTACCTCAATAATTTCAATTTGATATGTGAAAACAATAGCTGTTTTTGGGTTGAACAACAGTAATAATATTCTATCATAAAAACATAAAAACATAGATGCATCTTCGGACTTACCCAATATGGTCCAACAAAATTTGAGTTTCACAAGAAAAATGAATGTCACAATGTTGGTTGAAAGTTTTTGACTGAGGAAAGGTGACACAGAAATTGGCTTGTGGGCTGACAGGCTAGGAAAGGAGGTGAAGGAAACGATGTGAGTCGACGCCAGCAGAGGGAGTTTGTGAGTTGACTCAGGCCTATTTTCGTCGAAGGTGTCGATTGACGGGCAAAGAAGTCGACGCGAAGCATGAGAACGTTTGAGCGGGAAGAAAATTTAAAAAGCTGAGGACGTGAGAAGTTACAAAAGTGGTGGAAGGATCTGTGGCGACACCAAAGCCAACATGACAGTTATTTTATTTTTCTATTTAAGGCAATGTCCATGTTCATTTTAGTGGACGCATTTTGTAACATTGCAAGGGAAAAAAACTCTGAGTACCAAGCGTTAAGAGAAAATAGTTCATTCCTGCAAAATGTACGATCACGTCCACATTTCTTTTAAAGCAATTTACATTACCAACTTTAAGATATCTTGTCGTTTTTTCTCGTTTACTTTATTCATCTTTCATTCAAGTATACGCATTTTTTATTCAAGATTATTCCAATTTGTTAAAACAAACACCATTCAGCCACAGTCGCGTATACTCGACCAGATAATTCTGGGATTTGTTTGGCCGGTCTCGAAAGTAAACCTGCGTCAGGAGGTCAGAGGTTGTTCGTGCGAAAACTATGTGCGAACAAATTGGTATGTCCGGTGGGACCCGTTGGTTTGGGTGTATGCATTTACGTAGTGGTAAAATGGTGATACCACGTCCAAACGAAGAGCCGTCTTCGGAAGGAAATACGGTTGTGACGCAAACAACCGACGTTGGCGCTGACACTGTGTCTGCGGTTTCGACTGCACATAGTGAGCCTGTCATAACGTCACGTCGACCTGAACCTAGGCATATGATGACAGGGACTGGGGGCAGTATGTGCTTAGTTTCACAATGCCCATGCCTCGAGTCTTTGGGATGCCGACAGAGTTCATGTCGAGCTTACATCATAGTGGTCCACTCTTTGGAGAAAGTTCATCGTCAGTTTTCTCACCATATCAAGGATTAAGGCCATTGGCGAACCAAGTTACTAGGCCCCCAGAGTTTAGTCTTCCGTCACACTCGATCCCAACTTTCACCTCAAGTTCTGTCGCCGTTATGAGACAGCAGATGGATGAAAGTAATCACGAAATGATTCACATGTTGACCCAACAAATGGGCACCATATTAAGACCATCGATACAAGATTTGACTCAGAGTTACCAATAATTGGCGACTTAATGACACGGATAAGAGATTTTTTAGGCGCTCCTAGGGCCCCGGGTCGACAGACGCCGCCGCCTCGACCGGAGACGCCAATTCGACAAGACGAAGTCTTTGACGAAACAATTGATCAGCAGCCCCATGAGGTTGAACACACACCTAGGGTGGCCCAAAGGCCTTCCGTTGTGTTAGTTCATAGGAACTAAGACCCAGACTATGTGGTTAGACAGGTTCGACACAAAGCCATGGTTGGCGAACCAAACTTAGAAGCTATAGTGGAACGGATTATGGTTCGCATTGAAGCGAACCCAGGTCTTCGACGACCAACATATACGTCCCCACTATCAGACTTTGTTTTGCAAACAGAGTTGCCCAGGGCTGGAAGGTTTCGAAGTTCATCAAATTTGCCTGAGAGATCGAAGAGTCCACCGTTGAACATGTTGTCAGATATCAAACCGAAGCTGGTGACTAGCGAACAACGAGGACTTGAAAATGAAGTATTTCCAAAGTTCTCTCACAAAGAATGCATTCACGTGGTTTACCACATTACCCCCGCAGTTTGTCCACACCTATGCACAATTAGAGAGGTTGTTTCATGAACAGTTTTACATGGGACAATCGAAAATTAGTCTGAAAGAGTTAGCCAGTGTCAAAAGAAAGGCCACAGAGCCGGTAGACCAATATCTTAACAGGTTTAGACTTTTGAAAGCGCGATGCTTCATGCAAGTTCCTGAACACGAGCTAGTCGAAATGGTGGCTGGCGGCCTAGGTTATTCAATCAGGAAAAAGTTAGACACGCAATATCTTAGAGATATGATGCATCTAGCTGATAGGGTCTGATAGTTCGAACGCTTAAAAATGAAAAAACTCAGTCTAATAGATACCGCAAGAAAGAAAAAGTTTCATACGTGGTCGCTGACGAATATTCTTCTAACGAAGTGAAGCTTGTCGACGAAAGCGGGGTTAACGTGGCTGAACTGAAGTCAGGGCCTCCGTACACGTGTAAATTATTAAAACCATCAAATGGAAAAAAAATTATATTGAAACTGAAAAAATAGATAAATACATCGTGAAAACGTATACTTTTGATGTATCTAAGTGCGGCGAAATATTTGATTTATTAGTTAAAGACAGTCAGATTATTGTCCCTTATGGGGCAAAAGATCCCCCTTTAGAACAAAAGAAGAAAATGGGATTTTGTAAATTTTATAATTTCCTTGGTCATAAGACATATCAATGTGTGATTTTCAGGAATTTGGTGCATAAAGCTTTGAAGTAAGGTCAACTTCAATTTGGCGAAAGGCCAAAGATGCAGGTGGACACGGATCCTCTGAAGGTCGAGTAAGCCTTATATTCTGAGTTGTATGACTGCATGATGATTGAGGCTACTGAGGGTCTCAACAAGCACTTAACAACCGAAGCTTTTGAATTCATAATGGTCGAGACTACTGTGGTCCCGACAGGAAGTATGGAGAGAAACTCAAGACATTTTACCCTCAAGATGGCGAAAGTCTGACGGATTTCCAAGAGAAATACAGGGTGAACGGGTCGAAGGCTGTATTATGCCCAAGATGCAAATCCGTATTTGATGAAAAGGCTGTTGAGAAGTACGAAGTGAGTAGGAAAATGGCACTGTAAGAAAGTAAGCCACCATTCCCAAGGTTTGTGTTAGAACAGAACGATGCTCCTCATCGAAACAAAGAGTACATGAAGTTGTTTCAGACGCTCCACGAGATAAGTGAGTGGCACCCGTGAGCCAGAAGGGGAGCAAGAGGTCGAAATGGAAGGTGCTGGATCTAAAAAAGGAGGCAAAGGTTTCCGACAAGAGGACTGAACCCAGAATCTCTTGGAAATCCGTCAGACTTTCGCCAATGAAGGCGGTATCAACGAAATAAGAAGGCTGCCAAAGAGGCTTCGACTTCACAATTGAAGCCTGTCAGAACCTCTGGACTAAAAAAGCAATATCCAAAGGCAAGGTGGTTCGAGAAGGAAAAAAGCCGTGACGAATCAGACTACGGCAGTAACTGTGGAAGCTTCAGAAGAGAAGGAGGCAATGTCAACCCAGAGTTCGAAGTACACATCTGGAGTTGAAAACCAGAAAAAATCAAAATACACTCCCCAGTCAGATGAGGAATATACCTCGTCACCAGAAGCAGATTTCGACGAAGACATGTATGATGACACCAATGATGAGACATATGGTGAGGATTTCGTTGTAAACTGCGGCATCGTATCAATACTGCCGGTGGAATATGATAAGGTGTCAGAAATCTCTAAAGCAGAAGAAGATTTCGTGTCAGACAAGACTACAAAAGACAAGCCACTATGTTACTATGTGATAAACAGTGGCGTGGTGGAAGAACGGACAACCATGTTCAAAAGACCTAGTCCTAGAATGATGTACCATTTAAAATCATTGTTCATAAAAGCTAAGGTCGAAGGAGTGACAGTCAATAAAGTGTTCATAGACGAAGGGGCAACTATCAATCTAATGCCTCATACGTTGTTCAAGAAGATTGAAAAACTTGAAGCTAATCTCAGACAACATAACATGGTTTTGTCTAATTATGAAGGGAAAACCAACAACATTCTTGGGGTTGTCCAAGTCGATTTAGCTGTAGGTATAACCACCCGATCAACACTCTTCATAGTCATAAACTCAAAGGCCAATTTTAACCTATTGTTGGGTCGAGAGTGAATCTATGGGATATGGCCAATTCCCTCAACTCTACGTCAGAGATTAAGCATTTGGAGGAAAGACGACATCGTCAAAAATATCAAAGCCAACCAGAGCTATTATAAGATCGATGAAGCAAATAGTACAAAGAATTATTTTGATCAACACCTAGCAAATGTGGCACCTTATGGCAATGAGTCAGGATCTTATACGTCTGTTGACACGGGTCGCGTCCTAAACTTGGACCCTGAATATGGATTCATTTGGGATGTTGCTGATGCAACAATGGAGCCCACAGAAGGACTTCCACCCACAGGGTGGCCAACAATTGATGAAAATGACTACTGAGTTAGAGAGTTTGACTCGAATTTCGACCTATTTGGCTGAAAACAAGCGAAAG